TCCCCAGAGCAATCTGAACACGAGCTCTGTGTTTTTCCAGCCTTTCCCTGTGCCTCTGTTGTTTTATTTGGCGTTTCTGCATGAGCATTTTTTGAACAGCTAAAGACACAAGAGGGTTAGAGAGGCTTTCAATGTTTCTCTCAGAAGTGGCTGGATCACTAGAGGACTGTCAAAACAGTCTTGATGGCACCTCAGGGACATGTTAATAGTCTCTGTGGCAGCTGAAATATGGTTGACTTGTACTGTCCCCACTCATCAGCAGCGGTGTGCGAGCGGTCACCGTTTGACTCGAACATCCTCTTTGGCGGTTTAATGCACTTTCTGCAGCTCGTCTGGAGAATTCATTACCTTGCTGCGGTGATATTTTCTGCATTGCTTCGTTCAGTGAGATGATAGAGGAAGCCGTGTGCAAATATCTGCCTTCTAAGTGAGCAAAATCAAACCCTTTTAGCAACTTATTTATGCATAAAAGCATCTACCAAATGCATATGTTAACATATTTGGAATGCTTGGAATAGGTTGCAAGTCTGTTTGCTATACAAATAACAAACAGTTGATTTCAATGGAGTATGATGTAGCATGTTGCTAAGCTAACAAGTCAACACACGCATAAATATATACACATTTGTGTTTAGAATTGTATGTTTTCAAATAAATTATTATAAAAGTTAGGATATATGCATATGTATGACATGTATACACACATTTAATCGATCTCTATATATTGTTCTCGCTCTCTCTCACACACAAACATTATATATACAAACCCAATTCCAAAAAAGTTGGGACACTACAAATTGTGAATAAAAACAGAATGCAATGATATGGACTTGTGGTTACACATGGTCTGCGGTTGTGAGACCGGTTGGATGTACTGCCAAATTCTCTGAAACGCCTTTGGAGACGGCTTATGGTAGAGAAATGAACATTCAGTTCACGGGCAACAGCTCTGGTGGACATTCCTGCAGTTTAGTCTACATTTTAGAGTGGCCTTTTATTGTAGCCAGCCTAAGGCACACCTGTACAATAATCATGCTGTCTAATCAGCATCTTGATATGCCACACCTGTGAGGTGGATGGATTATCTCGGCAAAGGAGAAGTGCTCACTAACAGA